GCATTATAGACTCTCTTCATGTACAGAAACAGGTTGGTGGGGAGCAGGATGTGATCACAGCCCCATGGAAGTCAGCAGCTAAACTCTAGCTGGCTTCCACACTACCCAAACTTTTCCCAGAGACCCCACTGGTAAGAGAAGAGAGCAGAAGAGGAGCTGTCTGGCTTTCAGCCCGGCTTTGGTTTCAGCACTGAACAGAATTGCCACCGCGGAGGCTGCAGAAATGAGGTCTGTGCAGGAAGAGGCTGGACGGAGGTGTTAGTGGTGAAGGGGACACGGGTGGAGACCTCAGAGCTGGAGAGGCTGCCCCGAGCAGGTCAGAACAGAGGCAGGAGAGCATTTCCACAGAGGGAGGGGAGTTAACTGGTCGTTACGGGCGTACTGGTACTGCAGCAGCACCAAATGATCAGCGTAGATGGAGACAAAGCAGGAAATGCAGAGCAGCAGCTTTCCCAGCGCAGATCTCCCCAGAGCCATGCTGGGCTTCTTATTCTTGGCACTGCAGCCAAAGGGGTGCTGTGACTCGGAGGCATAGGGACATCTCCTGAGGCTGGAGCCATGTGTTTTAGGGCACCAGCAGTGTCCTAGTCACAGGATTGTCATGGTTTTGCAGGGACAGAATCCTAGGCCAGCCACAGTATGCAGGCTATTAGCAGTTCGAGTCAGCCAGGAGCTTCAGCTGTGAGGGGAAAAGGCCAGGGCAGCTGACCTGAGCTGGCTCACGGGTATAGCCCATACCATAAATGTCACACTTAGTGCAAAGGGAGAAGTTTGCTAAGGATGGGGGCTCCTGCTCCTTCTCTTAAGGGCGGTCATCCCTGAAGGGCTCACTCATTCTGCTCTGAGGGCTGCTTTCCTGTTTATTCTGACTGTTGTACATTCACAGGGCTGAGTATAACTTTGTATACTCTATATTTGCATTAGTAGTAATTTAGTTGGGCTGTTTAATTAAATCTGCTCTCATTTCAACCCACAAGTCGCCTTTTCTTTTGCCAATTCCACTTCTCAGCTGGGGAGGGGTCACTGGTGATAGAACAGCAGCTATAGTTTAGCCCCAGATATGGGCTGAACATAGACAAGGCTACACCTTCCTGACCATCCTGAAGCTGTGAACAATTGTGGCTCTCTGTGGGTGCAGCACGTGTAACCCAGCTGCTTGGATCTGTGTTTTGTGCAATACCAGAAGATGGGACCCACAGTTGACATGCAGAGGTGCAGCACCATGAGCTGAAGTTTTGGGGATGAGAACAGAGGGCCCTCTCTGTTCCACACAGACCTGCAAGAGTAGGGAGGAGAGAGGTCCTGCTCACACAGCCCTCACCTGGAAAACGAACGCTGCTCTCTGTCATCCAGGTGATGAAGTCCAAAAAGGAACAGTTGCAGTGCCACAGGTTGTCACTGAGCCCCAGAAACCGCAGGTTGGGCAGGTCCCGGACAGTGCTAGTGTCCAGGAATGTTAAGCCCGTCCGGCTTATATCCAGGTGCCTCAGCCAGGTGTTGTTGGTGAAAGCATCCTTCTCGATGGACACAAGGTTGGGATTGTCTGAGATCTTCAGCACTACCAGGCTGAGGAGATGTGAGAAGGTGCTGAAGGTGACCTGTGTGAGGTTGTTGAAACTGAGGTCCAAATAGATGAGCTTGGCCATACCAATGAAAGTGAAATCCAGGTCATCCCCCAAGAGATTCTTCCTGCAGTCCAGATAGACCAAATCAGCTAAGAAGCTCAGTTCCACCGCCGGCAGGTACGAGACATTGTTTGCTGCCAGAATCAGCTGCCTGGTGTCCAGTGGGATGGCTGCAGGGAACTCCTGCAGCTGCTGCCCTGTGCAGTTCACTTCCAGGTACTGACAGCTGCACCTCCTCGCGCAGTTGATCCTCTCCGATGCCATCCCCATCCCCAAAAGAAACACGAGGCTCAGGGGCTGCAGTCTATATGAAGAAGACATGGCTTAACACCTTCCAGGCCTCTCAGCCCTTTGGAGACTGTGAGCAGCCCTTTGGAAGCCCTGTTACCATCACAGCCATGTCGAGGAGGTGTCCAGCTGCAAGGCTCTGGGGAAGCGCTTTGTGCCCGTGACTTACTTGACTCCTTGGCAGAGTGCCCAGCTGGAAACTGAGCCTGGTTTCCACATTGGCAAGTGCAGAACGGTGGCTGGAGCGTCTCCATGTCACACTCGATGCCAGCTGACACCTCTGATGTCAACGGCTTTGGGGACAGGGCCGTGACCTCGCTGGCCGAGCAGGAGCTGCCTTTGGCCTAGTGGAGGTGCAGGGAAGGTGCACGTGGCCGAGTGGAAGATGCATTGGGTAAGAGCATCAAAATTGTTAAGGCTGGGTGTGAACAGTGCAAATTTTATCACAAATGGTTCAAACTGCAGGAGGTGGCCACTTGTGCTGATGAAGCAAGAGCTCCCTGTGCAGCACTGCGCTGGACTGGCGGCGTCGCCTTTCAGGAGGTGGGAGAAGGCAGCGGCGGAGGCTCTTCCCG